GAGAAAGGGGAACCCTCCTACACTGTTGGTGAGAATGCAAGCTGGTGCAGCCATTCTCGAAAACAATATGGAGCTTCCTCAAAAAGTTGAAAATAGAGCTACCCTATGACCCAGTAATTGCACTACTAGGTATTTACCCTAAAGATACAAATGTAGTGATCCAAAGTGGCACGTGTACCTGAATGTTTATAGCAGCAATGTCCACAATAGCCAAACTATGGAAAAAGCCTAGTAGTCCATCAACAGATGAATGGATAAAGAAGATATGGTGTACACATACTCAATGGAATATTATGCAGCCATCAAAAAAGTGAAATATTGCCATTTGCAGTGATGTGGATGGAAATAAAGGGTATTATGCTAGGTGAAATGAGTCAATCAGAGAAAGACAATTATCATATAATCTCACTGATGTGAAGAATTTGAGAAACAAGACAGAAGATCATAGGGGAAGGGAGGAGAAAATGAAACAAGACAAAACCAGAAAGGGAGAAAAACCATAAAAGCCTCTTAATCTCGGGAAACAAACTGAGGGTTGCTGGAGGGTAGGGGTGGTGGGAGAGTTGGGTTGGTTGGCCGACGGACATTGGGGAGGGTATGTGCTATGGTGAGTGCTGTGAATTGTGTAAGACTGATGAATCACAGACCTGTGCCCCTGAAACAAATAATACATTATATGCTAGTTAAAAAAAATAATGAATAACTTTCTTGCCAAGATCAGGAATAAAACAAGGATTTGTGCTCTCACCATTTCTATACTGGTTTTTCAGTCAGAGCAGTTGGCAAGAAAATGAAATAAAAGGCATTAGATTGGAAAGAAAGTAGTAAAGCGATATGTGTAAATGATATAATCTTCTACATAGAAAATCCCAAGGAATTCATTAAAACCATTAGAACTTGGGTGCCTGGGTGGCTCAGTAGGTTAAATGTCTGCCTTCAGCTCAGGTCATGATCTTGGGATCCTGGGATCAAACCTCCCGTTGAGCTCCCTGCTCAGCAGGAAGTCTGCTTCTCCCTCTTTCCACCCCTCTTGCTTGCGTTCTTTCTCTCAAATAAATAAATAAATAAATAAAATCTTTAAAAAACAAAAATAAACAACAAAAAACATTAGAACTAATGAACAAGTTCAGCAAAGTTGCAGAGTACAAAATCAATATACAAACTCAATTATAATTCTGTATACTTGCAATGAGCAATCAGGGAACAATTTCATTTAAAATTACATCAAAAAGAATAAAATACTCTAGAATGAATTTAACAAAAGAAATCCAAAGCGTATATTTTAAAAACTAGAAAATATTTCTTGGAAGCCACTCAAGAAGGGCTAAGTAAATGGAAAGACATTCCATGATCAAGGACTGGAAGACTGAATATTATCAAGATTGTAATACTTCTAAAATTATCTACAGATTCAACACAATTTCTATGGGAATCGTAACTGATTTCTTTGCAGAAACTGACAAGGTGATCCTAAAGTTCATGTGGAAATGGATCTAGAATGTTTCTCCCTATCCCCCCAAATTTTTGAAATTAGAACAAAATTGGAGGGCTCATAATTCCCCATATCAAAACTTACTTCAAAGCTACAGTAATCAAGATTGTGTGGTACTGGTATAAGGATAGACATATAGATCAATGGAATTGAGAGTTCAAAAATAAAACCTCACATTTATGGTCAATTGATTTTTGAAAATGAGAACAGGAAAATTTAATGGGGGAAAATTATCTTTTAAACAAATGGTGCTGAAACAACTGCCTATCCATTTGTAATAGAATGAAGTTGGACTTCACCTCACCTTACACACAGAGATTAACTCAAAATGAGCCAAAGACTACCTCTCTGACTTTCCTCCTCAAAATCCCATACCCTGTGAAATTAAGAGAGAAACATCAGACAAAGTCTAAGAGACATGCATCCTACAATATCACTGACCAGTATTCCTCAAAACTGAAAAGGTCATCAAAATCAAAAGTTTGAGAAAGTGCCATGATGAAGAGGAGCCTAAGGAGTCATAACAAGTAAACGTAACATGGTGTCCTAGATGGGAACCTGGAATAGGAAAAAAAACTCTAGATAAAAACTAAGGAAATCTAGAGGCGCCTGGGTGGTTCAGTTGGTTAAGTCTGACTCGTGATTTTGGCTCAGGGCATGATCTCAGGATCCTGAGATTGAACCCCATGTCAGGCTCTGTGCTCAGGGAGAAGTGTGCTTGAGATTCTCTTTCCCTTTCCCTCTGCCCCTCCCTGCCCCCCCCACCCTCGACCACCCCCCACTCTCTCTCTCTCTAAAATAATCTTTAAAAATAAACAAACAAAAACTGGAAATCCAAATAAGTCATGGATTTTTGTTAATAATGTATTAATACTGGTTCATCAATTGTTAACAACTGTACCATACTAATATAAACTATTAATAATAGGGAAAACTCTGTGTGAGGTCTATGAGAACTGTCGTATTATTTGCAATATATACTATGTCTATACTATTTACAATTTTTCTGTGAATCTAAAACTTTTCCAAACATAATGCTTATTAATGAAAAAAATGGGTAAAAAACTAAATTTAAGAGCTAAAACTACAAAATTCTTAGAAGAAAATATAAACAGAAATCTTCATAATTGGATTAGGCAATTTTTAAAAAAGATAAGATACCAAAAGCACAAATAATAAAATTAAAAATAGATAAAGAGAACATCATCAAATTTCCCTCTTACTTCCCAGTTTCTTCCCTCTTACTTCCCATTCCTCTTCCCAGTTCCTCCCAGGGTTGCTTCTGCAACAAATCACTTACATATCAATCATTGTCTCAGGATCTGCTTCTGGAAAACAATCCAAGACAGACCCCAACACCTCCTGCTCCTGTCTCTCCCCCAACCCATTCAGCCCAATTCCCTTAGTCCTAAAGGATCACCTTGATCACCAATAGACTGATTCACTGTCTTTAATTTAAAGTTTGTAATGATATGGACTTCTCTAATTGTAGAAGTAATACATACTTACTGAGAAACAAATGAGACAAATAAAAGTCATAACCACTGTGTGTTTTGACTCCATGGCTGACTTTCTGAATGCTTTTGGCATTCACTCTGACACTTCTGCTCTCACAGGGTTGAAGGCAACCCCTATCCTACCTCCACTGGTGTTCCTTGGTGTCTATTGGGTTCTCAGAGAGTAATACAATATGTATAATATTGTTGTATAATATGTTGTATAATATGTAAAGGACCCCATACTCCTTGTATCTCCCTTTAAAGTGAGTTCCCTGACAAGTACACTTCTTCCAGAGGTTGGACTAAATTTTATTCTTTGATGCAATCCCTTGAAGTGCCATGATTCAAGGATCATAATTCTGGCATAGTGAGAAAGAGCCATCTGTCTCAAAATCTTTGTTATTTCTCCCAGGAGGCACAGCAGGGCTTCACAGAAAGCTTCAGCCTTCTCCTATCATGGAGGTTCACAGTTTTTAGATGGGCACAATTTCAAGCCTGTGAGTGAGATCTAAACTCACTAAGTTTATGTTGATCTGCACTCAAATTGTTTACTGTCTAGGTGAAGAAAAAAAAAAAAAAACAGCTATGTTTGGAAAACTACTTGAAGAGGAGGCATGTCTTATTAGGAATTACATTGTTAATCTCAAATATGGCTGAATGGCGATAGGCTTTGGAAAATTATAGGATCTACTGCTGGATTTTAAATTATAAAGTGTAAGAAATATTTATGGTTGTGGCTCCCTTCCTGGTACTGTGTTCGACGTACTCAGGACCCAGTAAGTATTAGATATTATTTTCAAATCTTCCCTCTCCTCTCCAAATTCCATTTGGTTTCAAGTCTTATTGATTCTAACTTGGAAATATCTTGAGTATATCATTTTGTCAATTAAAATATTTTAATCTAAGTCCTTTTCCTGGCAGTGTATTACTGGATAGCCATCCCAACCTGGTGGCGTAAGCAACAATCATTTTATTTTATCTCATTATTCTGTGGATCAGGAATTCACAGAAGACTTAGCTGGATGGTTCTTCCACTCCACTTGGTCATTCAGTGGTACTCAGCCTACCTAGTCTGGAGGATACAAGATGGCCTCGCCCACTTGCCGTGTAGATTTGTGGCCTCTCCATGCAATGTAGTTGTACTTCTTACATGGCAACTGAGGACTTGAGACCAAGGCAGAAGTTGCCAGTCCTCTTAATGACTAGGTTTGGACGAGGTGTCATGTCACTTTGGTCATAATCCATTAGTCAAAGGAGTCAGAGATTTTAGAGAGGAATGGATCCTCCTGCCTATCCAGCTATCTTTAACCTGCTAAGTCTTCTTCTCTTGCCTGACGTCATACCATAGGCTCTTCTAATCACAGTCAATGAATCATACATCTAAGAAGTTATCTTTCTATTAAAGAAAAATATAAAGCCTTAATTATTTTTCTTCCACATGCAGCATTATTTATTGTCTGGCTGCTGCTGATGTAATTATACTCAGGCTTTGTATCATAACACAGAACACTTTTTATAAGCTGGTGCCTATCGGTATTTCAAATATCATTTTCCACTGCACTTGTCTGCAAGAACCTCTATCGTTCTCAAAGCATACCATGTCCTTTCAGGACTCCAGGCCATGCACACAGTTCTTTAATCTGCCTGGAGTGCTCATCCCCTATCGCTTACCTTCTTGGCTTCCCTAGGCCAATGTGGTCTTCCCAGAACTCTGAATTTCTAGAGAATGATGCTCATTTACTATAGCTTTTGTCACATTATATTGCCTTTTATCCATTTTTATGTGTCTCTTTTTCTCTGTATCTCTCTCTGACTACACATATTTTGAGGACAAAGAATATTTCTTATTCATCTTCCTATCCCTAGCATTTAAGCATAGTGCCCAGCATATAAATTACAAATAGATCTACAAAATGAATAAATACAAGGAAAAAAACTGGAAGAGCTACAGTAGCAAAAAAGTCAACTGCTCCTAATAACCTGACATTTTCCATTCTTTTCTAGAAGGTGTCAAAGGTGAACAGAAGAGCAAGGTGTGCTGAAGGACTACATATGCTTCCAAAGTCACTAAGTACCTGTCCATAGACATAGCATCCATATTTTCAGATTGAACATGACATAAGGTATTTTGATTCTTGCTTCCTCCATGTATTTCCATCCAGTTATTTACTTTAGAATTTCAGCCTTCTAAAACTAATACCCTACACATTTTGTAAGTGTAGTGAAGGTAAAAGGATGAAGTTAACTTTGCAAATGCTCCTGCTATTATCTATAGGAATTCAGTGGATATTGAATAAATGAGTTATGGACACAAAACTATCATACCCCCTTTACCCTTGACACAAGAGACCTTTTTATATTTGAATTATTTATTTTATACTTTAACAATTTAATTGCTAACAAAATTAATAACTCTAGATTATGCTGACAAGCATTGCAATTGCCAAATAAGGGACATCATTTGGGCAAGTCTACAATGATTTAGATCTCAATGGTGTGCTAGAGAAGAACATATAATTATAGCCTGAAATAGTGGTTGTTTTACTTCCCCAAGTATGACATGTGTTATGTACTCTCCTAAGTGAGTTTCCTACTTTTTATCAGTCATCTTTGTCACTACAATGGAAGAGATAATTGGAAATGAAGAGTGGGTTATAATCAGATGAACACCTATTCCACTTTCCCCAGAATAATTCTGGTTATGTTTGCTAACTTTATGTAATTAATAATAGAACTTCCTCTCATTCTCTGAAGTGCTTTGGATTAAAAATTATATAGATGTCCCAATGATAATTAACTAGACAAATTATTCCTATTGCATAGTGACAGCATGAGCAATTGTAGTGGCTTTCAAAATTTTTGACCATAACTCATAGGGAGAAATAAATTTTTCATCATCACATAGTACACTAATTAACACACACACACACACACACACACATGCATACATGCATGCACACAGGCACACACCCCATAAAGCAAAAGCTTAAGGGAAATAATACTAGGATATTTCCAAATCTAATCTAGTCTCTTAATTTTAAAAACTCCAGTCATGGCACTTGAATTGATTCGCTATCCATGGCTTAAACAACACCAATATCCTAGATGTATCTTGAGGTTGTAGAACATTCCTTCTGATGATTCTCCTTCACTTGATGGTGTTATGCAAGGTGCCAAACTTCTCCAAACAACACTTTCATGGTCTGTAAAGTGAATGTAATAACTATCTCAAGGTAGTAGAAAGAGTTAACTGAGATGATGTGGTCAATGAGCCTGGAATCTAGTAGACAATAAATGTTAGTTACTTTTTCTTTCTTAAGCTTCTAAACCAACAAGACCTAGCTAAAATTCACAGGTTTTTAGCAGTGAAAAAACATTTCTCTTAGCCCTTTGACCTCTAAAGTTTGGTCAGAGTTTTTGTTTAACCGTTGATAATAACACTGTTTCTTCTGTGTTCAATAAATAGTCAGTTACTTTTTGAGCTACTTCTGGTCAACCCATTGGAATTGCACCAGCAGCTTCTCAAAAAAAGAAGACACAAAAGAAGAAAAAGAAATTGTGATGAATATTAAATAATACTTTTAATTGAGGGGTAGGGGACGGTGAAGACATTGATCATAATAATGAATACAACATAAATGGCTTGCATTTCTGCTTGACAGAAATTGACAAATTTCTTTCTTTTTTTTAAGATTTTTATTTATTTATTTGACAGAGAGAGAGATCACAAGTAGACAGAGAAGAAGGCAGAGAGAGAGAGAGAGGGAAGCAGGCTCCCTGCTGAGCAGAGAGCCCGATGCGGGACTCGATCCCAGGACCCTGAGATCCTGACCTGAGCCGAAGGCAGTGGCTTAACCCACTGAGCCACCCAGGCACCCCAGAAATTGACAGTTTTCACACATAACTCCATTAGCAGAGGGATGTGTTGGAAAATTAACCTTGAGAATAAAACAAGGGACAGAAGCATAATTTTACAAGGGGTGATGTATTTGTTTTCTGTTTTAAATGTGAAAGAAGAATAAAAATGAGTATTGGGTCGTATATCTGAGATATATACTGTGAGCAATAACAGAAGACAGAGCCCAAGCAGGAGTGCTCTGAAGTCCCATAATCCAGAAGACCAATGCAATGATAAAGGTAAGCATTCTCCTTTCAGGCTGGCAAAATCCAGGCCTGTGCCCAAAGTTCTCTAGTTTTCACTGTGTTAAGGTGGGGCAACCTTTGATGCATAGCTCCTCTGCTCTGTTTGGCACCTGCTGAACCCCAGGACATCACAGTAGTGGTGGAGGCAATCCAGCTCTGATCATTCTATAGTTTGAGCCCGTGAAGTCAGAACCCCTCCATGGAATCATAGCAGGCATCCCAGCACTATGTAAGAAGTCAGAGTCATCTTGTTCCTTATCTTCACATTGAGTCTTTCAACTTTGTCTTAATATTGTTCCACCTTAGTGAATTTTTACTCTTCAAGTAGCACTCTTGTAGTAGTTTTATAGACAAGAGTCCCTTTTCTCTTTCTGGGTACTCTTGACTCCTCACACAGTGCTCCCTGTGCAGTGTGCTCAATAAATTGTGCTGATAAGTAAGTCACTCACTCAACAAGAATTTATTTAGTATCTGGTGACCAAAACAAAGATTAAGCTACCAGTGACTTTTAAATCACCAAATCCATTGACCACTCCTTATTGCTTCTTTTCGACACTATAGGGCCTCCCCTGGCCCGTCTCCACTTCTCAGACCCACTGCCTGGCCCTCCCTGACAAGCTTTCCCTTTTTCCTTTACTATTATTCAGCAATTGTAAGGAATTGAATCTGTCTCCAGTAGTACATGGCTTGTTTGAATTAGAGCCAGGACTAGAACTCAGGTCTATATATAATCAACAATCAAGAAACAGCCAATTCTTGATGTTTCTATTCATGGGGAGGAAACCCAGATGGACCTACTCACAATAGATGCTTCCAAATCAAAGATTCCACTCCCCCAGGACATAGTTAGGACACTGTCTAGCTAGAAGATATTCAGAGAAAATTCACCCCTTTACCTGCCCCAGGGAAATAGGAGAATTCAATGCCTGAGCCATTTACCCAAGAGAGTAATCCATGCTGGAAATTTTGCTTAAAGTATTCTTTTTAAAAGGCCCTTCTGTCTTTATTATGACTCTAAGGCTGCTGAGTCTGCCCAAGCATATGAAGTTGCAAAGAATATTTCTTTTTATTCAGACCTTGTATTCTCTATAAAATGAAAGGATTCTTGGCACATAGTTGGCAATTACTATCTAGGTTTTCTGCATAACGTAGGTTTTTTAACTAAGCTTTAACTCAATAGACATCAGGCTCCAGTGAAAATACATGTGGACTAACACGAGCAGAAATAAACACAATTCTAATCAATTTAGCTGTTGACAAAAGCATGTGGTTTCATTGCTTGGGGCCAAAGTTTTAAGAGAGGGTTCTGATTTCTCGCCGGCACACCCTTCATTTATGTGTGCAAATAGGGTAATTAAGTGTCCAATTATCAGATTTGCATTGGCAAATGGGGGCTTTGTGTGGGTAAAATTCTCCATAGTTTGGGACCAGCTGAAACTTAGGTCTTTATTTTTGAATCAATCCTCCAACAATAATGCAGGCATGATGAATTTCTCATCTTGCCTCAATCTGAAGCCACCGGCTGAAGACTTCCCTTTATTTTGTTGATTCAGTGAAGCAGAAAGCCAAAGTTAGGATACTGAGCTTTTTCTCCCATACTCTCTACTCTGAAAAATAATTAAGCATCTCAAGTGCTTTCAGATTGACTTTTTTTCCCCCTGCCAGCTCTATAGAATTGATTACTGAAGGTGAAATACCTGTAAATATTCTTTATGAAGATTTAGCCATATGTGGCTAGTAGGTTGAATGACCATTCATAAAGCAACTTTATTCTTTTTTCCACTAGTTCTTGGGTGAAATCTAAGACAGGTCCCATATCCTTCTCAAAATATAGGTAGTAAGTTTTCTGGACACTTTCAGTAATAGAGCTGGTCTCCTTACAGTAATTAAGATGTTCTTTTTTTGTCCAGTTCTAGTCAAGATGGTAAAATACTCCATTCTGTGTCTCTCAGTGAATGCATTGAAAATTCTGAGGAATCTGGAAAGTTAATCACAGCAGGCAGTTTGAGGGAGGGAAACCAGAACTCAGACTACCAAATCAGGGGTGAGGCAAACTTTTCCCCCACTGGTATCTTATGTTCTAGATCTGGAGACAGCTAGATACCTGGAACCATGCTCCAGATACAGACAGCACTCCAAAGAAGCCCTTGAATTTTGGCTTGAAGAAAAACAATGGGGGCTCCTGGTGGTCAGAAAGAGGAGAAAATGCTCTGTTTTTATTCTTCCTTTACATTCCCTACTCCTCTGGCTTCAAGGCAATCCTGTCCTGTCGGTGGGAGCTCATCAGACACCAAATGGGAGAGCCCTTATCTCTGACCAGAGAAACTATGATTTCTCTTTTTTCTCCTCTATCTTCTTGCCATTTTGCCCTGAAGCAGAAAAACTTGGCCTCTTCTTCTTTTAGCCCTATTTTGCAAAGGGCTTGCATGAGTTTGATCACATTTTTTTCTGGAATATTCCTCCTCTACATAGACTACCAGATAAACTTTTGACTGTGTATTTCACATCTAGGATAAAGCTACATCCTTAATAAGGCCTCCTTTTTCCAGAAATAGCTTTACCTACTTCTCTTATAAAAGACTTTGGTATGATATCTCATAATTATCTCTGGTTTGGAGGCTCCCATCTTCGTCTGTGGATTCATTCCCACCCTCCGGGGCTTGGTTTAGTGATTTCCATAAGGGTTTAAATAAATTATCACATTTGTTGTCTTCTAAATGAAATATCACAAGAAATATTAAAAGATATGCACTAAGCTGAGAATTAAGCATTAGAAGTGCCTAAACAGAAATGAATTTATATGAATATTTTATTATAGATAGGGCTGCCATACAATGTATTGCCCACCTCATCTCTTGTTTGTTTCTTCATGATTTCATCTCCACCCACAGCTTTAGACATGGACAGGTAAGTACAAATCCCCCTGAAAATATACATTTGACCTCATATCCTAAGCTAGACTATGCCAACTAAGAAAGAGAGGATGTGGAAACTACACTGCACATAAAAGTATTGACTTTGTGCAGCTTCTACCTTTCTTTCCATCCCTCTTTGACTCTCACCTTCTTCCAAACATAGTTTCCAAAAACAAGAGGATGATTTCCTAGCATCTTGTTCTAACTGCAGGTTTTAATTAGATGGAATGTTGTGGTTTGACATTCTGACTTTAAGAATCTTTTTCATGGATTAAGATCTAAGTTTTGTTAGTCACTATTCATGTAACTGCAGTTCTCTTATACTCAGTTTCTTCATTATAAATTGAAAGCAATGGTGATGTACTCTCTGAGAGATGTTGTGAGTGTTTGATGAAATAATCTGCATAGCAGTGCTTAGCAGAGTGCTTCAAGAAAGTGGTCGGTAGACATCAGCTCTCATTACAGTGACCATAGAATTCATTGTCCAATCTGGACACTTATTTTTTCAATTGGGACACTTTGGAGATTGAGAGCGGACTCTACTAATAATTTGTTGGGATAGCTGGGGAAAAATGAGATTATCCCAGTCAAATCAGAACCCCACCTTCTGTTTTGTGAATGACTCTCTACAGTGGTACTCTGATGGCCAATTTGCACAGAATGCCACAGAAAAGGAAACTGTTACACACTTTCCACAAGCCCTAAATTCAAAGGGAGGTTTATATCGAAGAGACTTGCTTACAAATAATTTATCTCTGAAAAAAGTCCAATTTTTGCCAAAATATGTAAAATATTTCCAGTTTGCCCAATACTGAATTAAGAGATAATTCTTTCTAGTTAATCAGCAAGTTTGTTGTGTTAAACACCTATTGCCTTGGAGGAGGAATACTTCTAGGATGGGAGGAAAGGGAGAAGCTGATGAAGAACTTAGTAAATGAGTCTGAAACCAAACCTCCAAAGAAAGTCACTGCCACCACCATCACCATGAAAAGGAAAACATGACACTCGCTTGCTGAATCCCTGAGTCAAACTAATTTCTTTTTTTTCAAATCCAGAATATTTTACCGAGAGCATACTTTTATAATTATTTCCAACTAAGCCTAAATGTATGTCTTCTAAAATTATCAAGCAAATTCAAATCAGAGGACCATCTGCCTTAGACCAAGCTAATAATTAAATGTGTTTTATTTGCTAGAGAAATGGATTCTCATGTGGGCACACTTGGTCTTACCAGCGATGAAGCCTAATGAATTATATGTTGTCAAGGGGCCCACAATAACATCTCAGGCTTGGCTGAATTTCCTTTTGGGTTAATTGTTGTGACTTCCATTCTTCTGAGGGAAGGAACTGAAATTACTAGGAACCTGAAGCTCTTTACCTACCCAGTTAGGACTCAACAGTCTTAGCATTGAAATAATCTTCCATTACACTGCACAGACCAAATGGCTAAGGGTCCTTGCAGTGGAATGGATGTCATTTTGACTGCCTATGTTTCCACCAACTCCTGGCTGGCTTTCCCATTTCCCTGCTTCCTCTGGAAAACTGAGGTGGGTTTTGGCTCCAGTTCACCTACTCAAGCCATTACACGATTCTTCTTATGATGAAGAATAAAATCATCCTAGGTCCTATGGGCTTTGCAAGGTAATATTGTATAACCTGACTATTTGAGAAATATCATGGCCTAGTTAAATACATATTCTGTTAACTTACAGGTTAACAGAGCATCTTGCCACTGCCTCTCCTTGCCAACATTGCACCTGAAAATTTTGGTAAGGAATTATAGTTCATTTTCTTGTGTGAAAACAGTATAAGTACGAGTGTATGGAGATGTTTATATCCTGCTTTCTCCCCACACTAACTTATGTTGACATTTTAAGTAAAGTTTATTCCATTTTACTTTTAAATAATGAAGTTCTTATAATCTTCTATTACTGAGGTTGGAAAACTACAGCCTGTAGGTCAAATCTACTCATTTTTATAAATAACATTTTATTAGAACTCAAGTACAATCATTTGTTTACTTATTGTCTATGGCTGAGTAGTTTCTGCAGAGACTAAATATGGCTTATAAAACCAAAA